GTGGAGGAAGCGCTGCTTGAAAACTAACCAGCTCTCCTGGGCCCTGCTTCCTTCTAGAGCCCATGGGATTCTTCCGAGGAGGTCCCTGAAGAGGCTAAAGTTGGCCCTCCTGAAGTCCATCGTCGCAAGGCTACTTACAGCCCTGCCTCCTCCTCTTTGGATCCTGAACTCCACCGGCTCATGGTCACTGCAGCCGAGGCTGCCCCCCACCTTCACAACTCCTGCAAGTCCCTCTGTAAACCGGAGTGCTTTGGGCACTGAGGGCCTACTCAGAAACCAAGACAAAGTTAGAGGCTCCCGATGAAAGCTGGTGCATTGGGGAAGGGTGGTGACTGCCATGAAGCTTCCTTGTGCCAGACTGACCTGCATCCGGGAGTTTCCCTTCCTTCAGCTGCTGCTTCTGAGGTGGTTTCACAGTCCAGCAGATCAAGGCCAGGCTTCCCCCGTGGTTTTAACCTGACCTCCTAGCATAGGAGAGCTGCGAGCTGGCACAGGCACATTTCTCACGTTGGCACACACTTCTTTTCCTAGAAGACAGCACAGTTGGAGACCCAGCCAGGAAGGACTAGCTCCTCTTCTGTCCTCTGCAGACTGGGGCAATGATTTTTTTATGGCACTGCCTAAGACGTGTCTGTCATGGATTTATGTCTAAGGGTTTATGTGCACAACCAGCCTTGGTTTCAGCCAAGTAAAGCTGTCTTGTCCTCCTGTCTGTGAGTGCTGAGCGTGGTGGGTCTCTGCGGGTGGGATGGGTGTCCCTGTGGCTCTACCAGCCGAGCTCTGCTGACACAGGAGGAGGGTTTCCTTGATAAATACTCAGTAATCGGTCCCTGGTTGTGGGTCGAAGGGTGTGAATGATGACAAAGTCCACCGAAAAGCGCTGCTCAGCATCGATAATGAATCTTTCCTGGCTGTGTACGTGGCAGGGCCTTTTCCCCGCCTCCACGTGGGTTTGGGAACAGCTCCGTGGTTCCAGGGGGTTTGAGGGGAGCAGGGAATGCTGCGCTGGGGGTGGTGGATGAGGGGCCCGTCCCGGCGGGAGGCG